ATATTCCACGTTAGTATTAGGGCTTCCACTGAGAGGTCAATCTCCCTCTCATACCATAGCTCAGTTGGGATACATCCTGTAGTCCTCTTTGGGGTCACGTATTCCGAGAAAATGGCTTGCTTAAGATACTTGGGTCAGTTCTCAAGGTTGTTTGTCGCTAACTTCGCGATCGCGTTCTTTAGGATCTGATGTCTCCTTTCTACCGGTGCGTCAGTCTCCGGATAGTATGACTCAATAAGCTTAATTGGAAATCTTAAATGATTGTCTTAGGTAGAAATCTCATTATCGGCTATGACCATGTGTAGCAGGCCCACTGAGCGAAAATCTGCTCCACAAACCCACTGAGGTTATCTCTAGCGTCAATGATATACCTATATCCCTTCATGGATACGAGCATCACTGCGAGGTCGAGGTGGACAAGGTGTTTCGGTCCTATCACCCACATGGGTCTCAACGGTTCAAAAATACGAGTCGAACTCCGCTCTTGGTAAATCAGGCCAGTCTGGCAGTACGTGGTCACCATGCTCCCCATTCCCGGCCAGAAGTAGAGTGGTGTTATTTTCTCCAGCGTCCCTTTTGAGGAGCGGTGTCCCCCAACCAACGCATCGTGCATTGTCTGGATTATGTCCACCTGTCTAGACCTTCCGCACACAACTCTTATAGGCATTAGGCCTTCCTCTCTCTTGAATAAGTGCCCATTCCTTACAACGTGCTTTGTAGGTTCCTCTCTTGTGTTGGGACTGATTTCTCCGGCCTCTTTGTTCCGTATTCACATCAGCCCGATTTCCCTGAAGATTTTGTCGTACATTCGGACATAGAAGAACTTCTTTCCATCTTGGTGCTCCACTTGCCCACCACCCTTTGCTTGATTCATCACGTATTGTTGCCGCTTTCGTTCCCACAATTCTATCAGGCTCATAACAACTTTTCGACCTTCCTCAACAACCATTGTTATGAGTTCCTCCTTTGGGCCTACCTACCCTTTCACCCCACGAATCCTTCTCCTCCTTATGACTCTGCCTTGTAACTGGTCCTTCCCCGAGTTCCGCAACTACGGCGAGGACCCCCTTCTCTAGGGCTTTGATCAACAGTTCTCAGTCGTGCATGTCTGGTTTATTGCCTTGTTGTCCACCACAAGGGTCCCTCTCTCGTAGTCGAGGAACGCGTCGATGGGTTATGTGCCCTCTACTCCTTTCGATGTGACGCAGACCCTGCTCAGGTCATCGACCCTATTCCCAACTCCGGCAATGCGTTCGATCTTGTAGTCGAACTGCCAAATGAACCCTACCCATCTTCCCACAGTAGGGTTTATGGACTTGTAGTTCTTAGTGCCCCTGCGACATTCGTTGGATCTCCTCAGAATGAAGTGTCTCCCAAACAGGTAAGCTTGAAAGGTTTTAAGGCAATGAAGGACGGTTAGTACCTCCTTCTTGAACTGAGAGTAGCGGCGTTCCGTAGAGGTCAACATTCTGCTTTTGAATCTGATGAGTCTCTCTCTCCCTTCCTCGTCTTTCTGTATCAACACTCCTCCCACAACCAAAGGTGCCCTACCGGTCTCAGGTATGAACGACCGCCCTACCTCATCATTAAAACACGAAGCGGCAAGGGTAGCTTGTTCCGACATCAATATGTCTTTGAGAGCCTGGATCGCGGTCTTTCGCTCCTCAGTCCAGTCCATTGTACCCATTTCACGAATCATGGCCCGGATGGGTTCCACGATCTTGGTGAAACCCTTAATAAAGATCCTCCAGAACTCAACAACCCTTAGGAAAACTCTTACCTCCGTCGTTGTACACAGGGGTGTCGGCCACTGTGAGATTTTGTCGGTTTTGGTTGGGTCAGGTTTCCTTCCATATGACTCGTAACGGAATCCCAAGATGGCCACCTCCAGGACTGCAAGGATACTCTTGGGGCCACTAACGGTAATATTGTATACTAGGAACCTACAAAGGAGTTTCGTGATGTCTTGTAAATGGTCCCATACAAAATTTCAGACTCCAGGCTGAATCCCCTTCGCATTCTTTTCTCGAGCATCTTTGATCTGGTTGTCATCAATGTAGGGTTCATACTTTGCTGGAAACATATCACCACCAACTGTGAGCATCCTCCTCCGTGCTTCTGCCATAGCGTTGGTGGAGCTCATAAGAGGTTACTTGCATTTTCAGTTGACTTACTGGGGTGTGCATGGCCATGTAGGGTCTATCACGGGCGTCCAATGAAAGCTAGTCGTATCTAGAATAAAGATCTATCAACGATTAAATGCTCTGACTGACGTGAGATTCTACCAGTAGGTCTGCCTGAGGCAGGGACCCTGCATCCTGGATAGGCACCGCGTTCACCTTTTGCGGGTGCTGAATCCATCTAAGTGTCTCGTTAGGCTTCAAGAAGACAAAACACTTGTTTGCCTATGGAGATGCAGTAACTTCTGCGAGAAAGGAGTCTATTTTTTCTCTAAGAAGATTCATTACTTCGCCTGCTATTCCAAAATCGTAGGTTGACCCTTTGTCATTCCAACACTCGTGTTCGACCGTGTGAATCTTGACTGGTGGTATTAGCTTTGCATCGAGCCACCTCTTCTGGTGATTGTTGAAAGTGAAGGCTAAGTGGAAGCCTTGACACGCTTCCTCAATCAAGCATGTTTCCTGCTGTGTCAGGAATCCCTCCACCCCTATCTTCATGGTATCTGCCAACTCGTTCGGTATCATGTACCCCTCAGTTGAACGCCTTTCCCTGATTACCAGGAGAACTTCTTCCTCTTTGTCCATAACCTCTTCCTTCGTTATTTTTGGCAAGATCGAGACAAAATTAGCCTTCTTTCCTACTAGCTTATACATGCGAAAGCTTCCTTCCAGGATCGTTCTTCTAAAAAATGAATGGTTGGGACTGTCATTCATGTCTCAACAATGCGTGGCTAGATGCTGATCAACTTTCCATTCAAGCAGTAGCCCTTTCGGACTTCCCCTTCAAACCTAGTGAGTGCGACTGGATTCACCACTACCTTGTGGTATTTTATGGTTTTGACGAGTTATAGCAAGTCAGGGATTTCAAGCGATATCTTCGGTTTCTTGTCCCGCACTTCCTTTGGCCGGGGTAAGCTGACCCCTAGCTCGAACACTGTCTCCTTTTCTATCACCATGACGACCAAGGCATTATCCTCATGTTTCCGCTTCTGTGGTAAACCCATTTTGACCCATTCCTTCTTACTGAATGCCTCCTCAATCATAATTTATGCTCTTTCTTTTATTCCTTCTATTTTTGCGAAGGCCCCCTTTCTGGTGCTTTCTTCAAAAAACGATGACTATGTTGCTAATTTCCTTTTTGGAGTGTCGCCCTCTGTCCCGATGAGATGGAGTAGCTCACCGTGGCTTGTTACGGGGTCCTCTATGTCTACCACGTATGTCCCATCTTGTAGGTGCATTCCTATCATCTCCCCATTCGCACACCAAAGCCCTCTGTCCCGATGAGATGGAGTAGCTCACCGCGTCTTGTTACGGGGTCCTCTATGTCTACCATGTATGTCCCATCATGTAGGTGCATTCCTATTATCTCCCCATTCGCACACCAAAGCCTCCCGATGATTATATTATGGTAATTTCATCCATAACGGTCATCCGTTTGAATGATCAAATTGACTCTCTGACCCCCGCCTTGACTGCGCACTTAGTAACATACCCGGAGAACGAAATTTATCCACCTGCTCCCGGTTGTCTCTTTGTTACCCGCACATCAAGTGATATTTGCAAAGTCCTTCCAAATGAGAGTGATTTCTGCCTCTCCGTTGACCAACGCATCCGTGTGGTGGCTCCCGATTTGCACTTTCATCTTCTATACAGGCAACACATGAAAATTGAGTTTTATTCCAGGCGGTGCCCTCATAACTTCCCCAACTTCGCGATCTAGCAAGCTCAGACGAATATTTATGAAGGCCTTCTCCAGGTCTTCCAAATCCCCAAGAATCCTTTTAAGATTGGCGACTTCTCGAGGCGTCTCCTCCTTTTTTTCCTCTTCCTAAGGTTCCAGATTTTCCTCTACCTCTACGCGTCGGCGGGTCAGCAACTGTCTAAGACCCTTCAGGAGCCTAAAACTTGCATGTAGCATGGTCTGGAACAACACAACCACCATGGTTCCTAGCAGCTTGTTGAGGGAGGACCGATCACAAACAAAATAACACTTAATTGAAAAAAAAGGGAAAAAAAAGGGTGTGTGCGGGAGGTGGTTGGGGGGGGGGTGATAGATAGATAGATACATAGAGAGAGAGAGAGAGAGAGAGAGAGAGAGAGAGAGAGAGAGAGAGAGAGAGAGAGAGAGAGAGAGAGAGAGAAGTCAAGAATGAATCTTTTCTCAAAAGTCGGAAGATTCTCTACCGCTTCTACATTTGAACTGCGCAGGGGGACGAGAGAGAGAGAGAGAGAGAGAGAGAGAGAGAGAGAGAGAGAGAGAGAGAGAGAGAGAGAGAGAGAGAGCTCTCCGGCCCTTCCCCCTTCCCCCTGCACAGTTCAAATGCAGAAGGGGTAAAGAATCTTCCCACTTTTAAAATTTAAAAGAAGATTCATTCCCGACTTCTCTCTCTCTATCTCACACCCATTCCCCAACCCGTGAGTGCTCGTTTATTTTTCTGTTTTCTCTTTTTTTTTTTGCACTACCTGTAGCCTTAGGTTCGGCGAAGTTCGGCCTACCGGTAGCCCAACAAATTCAATTACGTGTCGAATCTGGAGAGGACGGCCTTTCGTGCCTTTTTTATTGTCATTGCTCAAGCCTCCAATGAGGGAACATGCCCAGTGACTTTACGTGGACACTGGCGATAGTCGCAAGATCGTGACAACGATGACTTTCTTACATGGACAGGACCACGCCCTTGACGACCCTAAAACCAACTTTCGGCCTTGGTTTGTGCTGTTGGCGCAGTCGTCCTCCTTGAACGATTGCATTTGTCCAACCCTGTCGATGGGAACGGTATTTGTGCGTAGCGGGCGCTTTGTTGCACCGTACTCGAGGTCGCGGCTCGGCGGGTGGTACCCAATCTCCCGCCTCTCCCATCAGGCCCGCTCTCAATCTTGCAGGAGCGCTGATGCGTACCCCAGAAGTTGTGTTGAATGTCTCTGACCGGCTTTCGTGAGTGTTACATGAGCTACAGTGGAGAGAGAGAGAGAGAGAGAGAGAGAGAGAGAGAGAGAGAGAGAGAGAGGTAGGTTATCGAAGATTGGTTATTCGGAACAGGATCGGCATCAGTTGAACCAGGGGAGGCGATGAATGTGTCGACGCACAGGATGAGAAGAGGGAGTGAGGGTGATGGGGAGACGGAGTGACGGTGATCAGGAGAGGGAGGGAGGATGATCAGGAGAGGGAGGGAGGGTGATCAGGAGAGGGAGGGATGGGGATGAGGGAGAGAGGTGACGGTGACAAGAGGCGAGAACGGAAGTCGACGGATCACAGGGAGTGCTCCAATGCGTGAGGACTCGAGTGGAGGCGAGGAGGACGGGGAGGAGGACGGGGAGGAGGACGGAGGAGAACAACCAGTGGACTGACCGACAAGGACTGCCGAGAATCCCTCGGTGTAGGTCGCAATTCTTCCCAGCAGTCAATTCCGAGCAATTGTTTTTGCAATTCTACCCAGCAGTCCCAGCTGCTGTTCGGCGGTCTCAAGGGAGATTGGCATACACAAAGAAATAACAGGGGGTGCGTGGTGCTCCTCCGCGGCGATTCAGGGTCATCACCCGTCTCTCCGTGCGCCCCGATGAATACGTCAGCGATTCCGTACTTGTCTTATCCTTCGTGGTGTGCTGCTTGATTTTCTTCCGTGCCGCAAGTCGGCTTGCGAGTGAGAGGGGTGCTAGCTGCGGAGGTGGAGACCGCTCGAGGGTGCGGTACAGGGCCTCTCTGTCTCTCTCTCTCTCTAACCCACGAGCCTGCACGTATGCTCCACGTGTTTTCATCTGGCGGCGCCATCGCGGTGTACACCGTCCGTTCACTCACGTTCTTCCTCGCCGACTCGCGTGCATGTTCCCCCTCTTCCGCTCTGACCTGTCCTTGGTCCTCTTTACCGTATTTCCCGCCTTTCACACCACCAAGCTTGGCAGCTTCACTCTTTCTTTCAATCATCTGGTCCCATGTTGTCGGTCCACTCAGGGGCGTGTAAGATCTCCTTCCAAACTGCGCTAGCGCGCTGCCCTAGATTTGCAGCTCTCCGGCATGCTCGGGGCTTAGTGGAGGTGGAGGTTGCAGGTATTATGTCCATTGCCACCTTGGTTATTCCTTCATCCCAGTCCCAATACCTCGGGTACTGATTATCCTTATCATTTGCTACCCACGGGGCGGAGCGGAGAGCGAGGGCGGGACGGCAAGGTGGGGAAAGAGGGGAGGAGAGAAGAGGAACGGTTGAGTCTGGGGCCCCGCTCATCAACGGAGGGAGGGGATTCGGATCGAGAGCATCACCCTGGAACGCGGTGCTTCGCCTGCCACGTGGTCCATCGGACGGGCGAGCCGTCTGACATCGTCTAGTGTGGCTATTAGCGATGGCGATGGAGAACAATGTAGCTGACGTGGCGGAGAGAATCGCGCATTTCAGGGAGATAACCGGTGTGACTGATCCTGAGCAATGTTCACAAATCTTGGAAGCCCACGGTTGGGATCTGGACCAGGCTGTCAACACTGTTCTTGCAGTGAGTGACGGGGATGTCTATGATAGAAGAGGAGCGGATGAGACGGAACAGCTTCTGGGAGTTGACGGGCTTGGCGGGAGTAGGATCAGGGGGAGCGCGCCGCCTGGGCAGGACTTGTTTGTGGACGGCGGCGGGAATGTCTGGGCGGGTCGGGGGGAAACTGCGAACGGGACAGCGATCCTTAACGGTTACGCAGGGGGAGGGCTCTATGAGAGACGTAATGGCGGCAGAGGAGCCGGGGGTGGTGGGGTTGGCGGGACGTCGGCGGAGGCGGGGCCCGGAGCTGCAACAGGCAGCGGCAGCTTGGCTGCATCATCATCAGCGTCCGCTGCTTCCGGGGGACTGGTTTGGAGGTTACTGACCCTGCCTGGCGCCGTTGTTTGGGGCGGCTTAGGCCTCGTTACGGGGGTAGTAGGTCTGGGTTTTCGATTTGCGCGCGGCGGTCTTAGTCTAGGGATGAGCACGTTAGGGAGTTTGGCGGGAATGATAGGTGTGGGCAGCGCCGGCGGTTACGATCGCGTCCCTTCTCAAGACGTGTCTGAAGGTCAGCGATTCTTGCAGCGTTTTGAAGCCGAGTATGGTGTTGTCCATCCCGCCTTCTTGATACGCACGTTCATGGATGCAGTGAGGATGGCGGCAGCGGAGTTCAAATTTTTGTTCGTGTACTTGCACTCGTCGGAGCACGTGAGCACACCCGGGTTCTGTAGGGAAGTGCTATGTGATCCGAGTGTGGTAGAATTTCTGAGCGAGAACTTTGTCGTGTGGGGAGGGGACGTGAGGGGAGCAGAGGGGTTTCAAATGACGCATAACATGAAGGCGTCGACTTTCCCATACATGGCGGTGGTATCGGGCTCAAGCGGCGGTGGACTGACGTCTAGAGTGACGATGATGTACCAGAGGGAGGGGGAGGTGACCGCGGAGGAGTTGATGAGGGATCTCGCCCGGGTCATCGAAGAAAGAGGCACCATGCTCGAGGCGGCGAGGGAGCAGGAGGAGCGCAGAGCACACGATCGGATGATCAGAGAGGAACAGGACGCACTTTACATGGCATCGCTTCGGGAAGATCAGGTCAGTTGGCCGGTTCTCATTCTCTCCTCCTTCTCCCTCTCCTTCCGTGGAAGTCTCTTCTCCTTCTCGCTTCTTTTTCCCTCCTTTAACACAGTTCAAATCCGGAAGAGCCGAGCGACCGGGTTTTGCGCTGCGTCAGCCTTTCCTTGCCCTCTTCTTGGCACATAACACCAGATATCGCGGCGAATGGCATCATCGCTGGCAGTAAAAGTGCAGTTCGAATGAATCGCGCAACTGAGCATGCGGAGACGAGGAGGAGGGCTTGTGGGTGGCGGAACCGTTATCTGCAGCTGCACATGCGCGCGCGCGTTCACACACATGCGAGCGAGAGAGAGAGAGAGAGAGAGAGAGAGAGAGAGATTGTTATTTGCTGCCGGTGATGCGGGGGGGCACACACAAGACGGGAGGCCGGGGGAGAGAGAGAGAGAGAGAGAGAGAGAGAGAGAGAGAGAGAGAGAGAGAGAGAGAGAGGCGTGGGCGTGTCCTTGCTGCAAATATAGGGTGAACAGACATTCTTCAGGCATCCCGAAAGGAGAGATGTTTTCGCTTTTTGACATTTCACTTATTTTGTAAGTTTATAAGATTGGTAGGCCCTCTCATACTGGAATCAGACTCCTGTTAAACTTCTCTGGATTAATAGTTCTACGGGGCTGGATGGCTGTACACAAATTCAACCACCTGGTTTTGAAGCTCTTATTTGCTACTCGTTGCCTGACTTCTTGAACACTCGCCAATGTCCCGATCTCCCGGGTGGCGGTATGGTACACCTAGGTGTTGATGAACAAGTCGGGGGTTCAAACCTTGGTTGGTTACGGGGAAAGAAAGGAGACCACCACGAGAGAGGAAAAGTTGTGTAACCTGCCACTTGTAGATTCATTCTTGAGTGCAATATGGTTTTCAATTTTTAACCAAAGGAATGTGAAGTATCATCTTCCTCGCCACCAGTTCGTGGTATGCGTGCGTGAGTATGTGCGTATGCGTGCTCTTTTGTGTGTATCTGTTTTTCTTTTTTGGTGTGTGTCTGTGTTGCCATGTGCGCTATACACAGCTTCACAAGTAAAGCATGTAACAGACTGTTCCGTCGGACGTTCACCGTCTCATCAGGAGATCGAACTCCGACAGTCTGTATGTGTGTGTGCGTGCGCACAACCAGGCCTTCCTGGCTTTCTCTACTTCATGCAACGGGTGCTTTTCAAGAAGCACACAACGGTTCGGCTGTCGCAGTGGCTATATAGCCCGTCGGCCGTTGACAGACAAAAGGGCTCGCTGATCGGCTTGAAAGAAGTATTTCCTTTGCGAACGACAGGAGCTCCTCCTTGGTCAAATTGACAGCTTGTAACATCAACTCAATTGATATTAACATAATAAGGATATTCTTTCTATTTAAATAGATTCCCCAAATGCCTAAATTCTTGTAACAAGGATGATGCTTCGGCGAGCAAAGAGCCGTACAGCTACTCTCTGCGGGTTTGGAACGACAGTCCGCTCGATATTTTCTGCCAGTCGTCCTCCCCTCCCCCC